CTAGGTTCATCGGGCCTTTTGAGATCCTTGATCGAGTGGGGGATGTGGCTTACAAACTTGCGTTGCCGCCAGGTTTATCAACTGTGCATTCAGTGTTTCCATGCTTTGGAAGTATCACGGCGATCCATCCCACGTGTTAGACTTCAGCACTGTCCAGTTGGACAAGGATTTGACCTACGAGGAGGAGCCGGTAGCTATTCTAGACCGGTAGGTTCGTTAGTTGAGATCGAAGAGTTATCCTTCGGTTCGCGTGCAGTGGAGAGGTCAGCCTGTTGAGGTAGCTACCTGGGATTCCGAGTCCAATATGAAGAGCAGATATCCCCATCTTTTCACCGATTCAGGTATTTTTCTATGTCCATTCGAGGACGAACGGTTGTTTTAGAGGTGGAGAATGTGATGATCCAAAAGGTCATCTTCTGTCTTAGAGTCCGATTCCGTGTTTCGAGGCCTTGAAAACCTCATTTTCTTTCTCCTCGATTGCATGCGCAGTCCGGGCGTGTTTTCGGAAAGCCTTTATATGAAAAGTTGAGAAAAATATTGAGTTTTGCCTTTAAAATTGATTTAAGTTGACTTCGGTCGACATTTTGAGTAAATGGATCTGGACCCGTGATTTGACGGTCCCGAAGGATCCGTAGTAAAATATGGGACTTGGACGTATGCCCGGAATCGAATTCCGAGGTACCTAGCCCGAGAAATGAATTTTTGAAGAAAATTGTTAAACTGGAAATATAATAGTTTTTAGAAATTGAATAATGTTTGAACTTGTTGGTATCGGGTCGTATTTTGGTTCCGGAGCCCGTACAGGTCCGTTATGATATTTATACCCTATCTGTAAAGTTTGGTGAAAAACGGAAGTGATTTGACGTGATTCGAACCTTTGGTGGAGAAAATAGGAAGTTTGAAACTACCTTGAAAATTTTATGTGTTTTGGAGTTGAATTCATAGTTCTAGATGTTATTTTGGCGATTTAATTGCGCGAGCAAGTTCGTATGATGTTTTAAGACTTGTGTGAATGTGTGGTTTGGAGCCCCAAGGGCTCGAGTGAGTTTTGGATAGGCTACGGAGTGATTTTGGAACTTAGAGAATTGCTAGTGTAATTGGTATCTGTTGTAGCACTCTAATCGCAATTGCGAGATCAGGCTTCGCAATTGCGAGCAAAACAGGCATGGCAATTGCGAGGTCTTCTCGCAATTGCGAAGAAGGCTTGGGCCAGCAGGGTTCGCAAATGCGAACATATCTTTGCAATTGCGAAGAGAGTCTGGGAAGGGGTGTGATCGCAAATGCGATCTTTTTGTCGCATTTGCGGAGGTCCCTGATCGCAATTGCGAAGGCAGCAGAGGTGTGGGGAACTTCGCAATTTCGATGGTTCTTCGCATTTGCGAAGCTCTGGTCGCAAATGCGACATCTGCAGCTGTTCAAAACGTAACTTAGACGGAATTTTTGATTCGTTTGTCAAATTTTCAAACCCTAAGCTTCAAGAGACGATTTTCCAAAGACCATTTCTTCCACAAATCATAGGTAAATGATTCTTAACTCATTTCTTTCAATCTATTTCATCTTTTTACAAGATTTCATCCTAGAATCTAGGGATTTCACGGTGGAATTGGGTGTTTTTGGGTGGAACTTAGGAATTTCGAAATTTGGGGATTTAGACCTCAAATTGAGGTCTGATTCCAAAACCAATTGTATATCCGGACTCGGGGGTGAATGGGTAATCGGGTTTTGGTCCAAATTTCGAGTTTTGACCAAGCGGGCCCGGGGTCGATTTTTGACTTTTTGGGGAAAATGTTGGGAAATCTATAATTCTGCATTGAAATTGGTTTCTTTAGCGTTTGTTAATGTTAATAAGTTAATTATGAATAGATACGAGCGGATTGGAAGTGGAAACTAAGGTAAAAGGGGTATTTGAGGCTTGAGTTTGGCCATGGAATCGAGGTAAGTATTGTGGCTAACCTTAGCTTGATGGATCAGGTATTGTTGCCTTATTTGCTACATGTTTAGTTGTTAAGTACGACATATAGGTGAGGTGACGAGTATCTATACGTTGTTGTCGGGTCATAACATGCGAGTGAGTCTTATACTTGTGACCGTTGTGTTTCTTTATGCGTACTGTTCCTGCTTAAACTGGTTATTACTCATGTTAAACAAGTCTTATTATGTTTTTCCTGGTTTTGGATATTGGTTGAGTATTGGTGCAAGTTAAGATTTATGTTGTGATGTTAAATGATGAAACGAGGTTGTTTAATTATGATGCCCTTGCCGGGTTGTTATTGTTTCTATTATTTCTTATGTGGTGAGGAAGAGTGATAAAGCACGAAGGGTGATGCCGTGCACATCTCTATTATTCATATGGTGAGGTTAAGTGGTAAAGCACGAAGGGTGATTCCGTGCACGTTTCTATTATTGATTATCTGGTGAGGCTGAGTGGTAAAGCACGAAGGGTGATGTCGTGCATGTTTCTATTATTGATTATCTGGTGAGGCTGAGTGGTAAAGCACGAAGGGTGATGCCGTGCACGTCTCTATTATTCATTATCTGGTGAGGTTGAGTGGTAAGGCACGAAGGGTGATGCCGTACACGTTTCTATTATTGATTACCTGTGAGGTTGAGAGTAAAAGCACGAAGGGTGATGCCGTGCATTTTTCCGTTTGCTGTGTTTACTTGTTATTACCGGTTCAAAGTGTACTAGCTGTTTAAATTCCTCTACTGCTGTGATTCTTTATTTTGGTACCCCCATAACATGTTGCCCCCTTCCCGTTAACTTCTGCTTAGCTTCTATTAATTGTTATTCCGTTAGCATATTGTTTAACTACACAGGTTTATGTTATTTGTCGTGTCCTAGCCTCGTCACTACTTCGCCGAGGTTAGGCTCGGCACTTACCAGTACATGGGGTCGGTTGTACTGATACTGCACTCTACACTTTCTGTGCAGATCCCGGTACTGGACCTCACTGACCAGAGTTTGGGTTGCTGCATTCAATCCACAGGAGAGCCAAGGTAGATCTGCCAGTGTTCGCAGACCCTGGAGTCCCCTTCTCTCTATCTTAGTTCCTGTTTTCTTTCATTCCAAAAAATAGATGTATTTCCTTTAAACAAGTGTTTTTAGAAATTCTTAGACGTTCGTGGATTGTGACACCAGATATTTTGGGTAGTCGTGTACTAGTGTATTAAACTGTTATAAAATTTTCGCACTTCATATCTGTCATTATTAATTTCTGTTTTGGTTAATGATTAATGTGTTAGAACTGTATCTGTTGGCTTGCCTAACATTCTAAGAGTTAGGCGCCATCACGATCCCGACGGTAGAAAATTCGGGTCGTGACAGTAGCATACCCAAGCATAAGGAGGATGATCGGGGGTAGCATAAAGAATACTAGACAAGAATTGGGTGAGGCGTTCTTCATGAATGATGATGTGGGTCACCACTAGTGGTGGCAAAATGGTTCAAAGAAAACAGTTAACGACCCATATTATCCACTGAAAAATGGGTTGGATAATGAACTTTTTAAAAACGGATCAAATATGGATAAAAACCATATTATCCATTTAGAAAATGGATAACCAATGAGTCTAAATTTTACATTTGTAAAGCCTCAAATTGGGGGTTCCTCAAGTTAGGGAGACTAAGAATTCTCCCAACAGTGATTATATGAGCAAGAAGTTATGGATAATATGGTTACCCATATTATCCACCGGTTAACCCGTTTTTTATCTGTATTAAATATGAGCCGGGTCGGATAATGTATCCGTTTTTATTACCCGTTTTCGATCCGAACCATATCCGATCCAACCCGCTCTTTTGCCACTCCTAGTCACCGCCATTCGGTGTTTGGGTAACTGTTGCACAGTTTCAACATAGTTTATTACTCAAACGAGTTGTTTTTTGGTGGCAACTTCTTCATATGTTTTAAATTTTGTGATTGCGTTTTATATAGTTTTCAAATATACAAATTTTATTATAAAAAAGCAAATTTTCTATATCCGATTTTGCAATCAAACTTAAGAAACTCGATTCTCGAAACCCTAAATATGTCATTCTCTTTTGGACGAAGGGAGTATCACACGATTATTAAAACAACACTACATACTAAAGTTGAATTTATTATTCTTTTACTATACTATTGTATTTGTTCTTGAGAAACTTGTATGAAATGACTACATAGATTAATATTGTACCTAGGGTAGGCTGCCTACATCACATGTACCTTTTGGGGTGCAATTTTTTTCCTGGATTCTGTGTGAACGCGGGATATTTTATGCACCAAATTGTCATTTAACATGTTTTGCGTGTAACTATCATTCTCTACAAACTTCTCCTCTTATTAGGCACAACTGCCTCAATCAACTCCCAATTTTAGTAGGAGGAGATGGAATTGAAGATTTAGCCTAATGTTCCATTTTTAATGCCTTCAATATTGGTGCACAAGATGGTTTTAGTGGTATTCATCGAACTTCCCCTTTAAGGTTTTCTTGGGCTATGGCCTATGCAACAGTGGTTATGTGATTTTCATTATCTTACCTATAAAATTGAGAACTTCTTGATTAGTGGTATAGTTTTAAGAACTCATTTTTCAATTTGACTATAATTATATAGTCAGATGGAAGCCCCAGGCCAATGCTAAGTTTGTTTCCTTGTAACCTATAGGCCACGGATTTGAGCTGTAGAAGTAGCCACTAATACTTGCATTAGGGTAGGCTATCTACATCACACTCCTTAGGTGCGGCCATTCTCCGGACCTTGCGTAAATTCATTCATTGTTATCTCTTGCAAAAGATTCTCAATTTCATATTACTTAATTCATCTTATTAGAGCATGCTACTGTTTTCTTTGTAATGAACAAACATTTCAAGTGCTAATGCATATGCTAACTAGTCCCACCAAAAACAGAAGAAAAGGTTGCCATTCCTGCAATCTTTACTAGCAAAACAAAACAAGTTTACTTTGATGGATAATGATTTCTGAATATCAATCTTTACTATCACTGCATATTTTGTAAATCTAAGGAGAAAAATTATTGTTTCTATATGCTTTAATTAAATTCTTGATCAAACAGAATGAAATCTTTGAAGGTAAAAAAAGGGAAGAAAATTACAGTAGCTACTTCAGGCTATCATACATGAGCTGGTATTTGGTATTTAATTGTTGAGGAAAGTGAAGCTACTGCTTCTCCAACTGTTAAAAACAGACAATCTGGTCCCATCATATCATTTGTATCATCAGCTCTCTGTAGTTTTTCCAATACTTCTCCAATTGGATTCACCAACACAAGCTGTGGTTTAATTTGCAAAATAAGAACAGTTTATAATGAACAAACTAAATAAAATAAGATAAATGAAAAGAAGCAAAAAAAGATAAAGGTAACTTGCCTCAAGACTCTTCTTTTCAAGTACCATCCTTAGATCCTTAAACAATGAGATTCCACTTGTATCAATGGCACTCACAGCTGAATATTCAAAAAACAAATATGATCAACTCTCAATGTTCAATTTTCAGATAATGATGATGATACGAGTTAAGTTTGAAAGAAGTGAGGATCCATATCATCGCCCCAATTTTTTCAGGACTGATGTGTGTAGTTGTTGTTGTTCAATTTTCAGATCATGTATTAGAAAGAATAGATAAAAAAAAAGGGGGGGAGTGAGGGGGCTGGTCCGCTATAAAGCCTACCGGCCAAAAAGTCCTTAAGAACAGAAAGCCGACTAAAAGGCTAGTTACTGAAAGCATGACAAAGCTTTGCGACTATGCCATTCGTGGCGACTGTTGGCTTTGATTCCAGTGATCAAGCGAGCAAGCAAGCATTATCTGGGTAGATATTCTATGACTATATGGAGAATCATGTTTCAATCAACTTACCAGACAAATCAAGGACCACATATTTTAGCTCTGACTGCTTTTTGGTTTCTCCTGACTCATACTCTTCCATCCATCTTGAAATCCTATTGCAATTAAAAATAACAGATAATATTAAAACATCCAAAATAAATATGGAAAAACAAAAGGAAATAATAAAAGAAAGCAAAAGATGACTTTTTGTACCTTTCCTTGAGATAAGTTGTATTGGCAAAGTTAATTGGAGCTTCAATGCTTAAAATGAGGAAATCAGGTATACTCAAAGCTTCCTTATAATGATCTAAATTCCTATAAATTCTTGTACCAGGTATATTTCCTAACATCACTGTTTTTGGCCTTGTAATTTGCAGCAACACCTTAAATATTGATATTCCAACCTGAAATTCAATATTATAGAAAGTAAAATAAGTCAAAAACCATAGGTAGACTATAAAGGGAAAAAAAAAACAAAAATAGTGGAATTTTGAGCTTACTGCAATAGCAAGACCATCCTGGACAGAAATGAAAATGACTCCAAAGAATGCACATAACAAGACAATGAAATCGAATTTATCGATCTTCCAGATTTGATAAGCGGCTCTGATGTCGATTAGGCCAATGACAGCAGTAACGATGATCGCCCCGAGTATAACATTGGGTGTGTATTGGAATAATGGCATGAGAAACAGGAGTGTTACCATTATTGTCACAGCCATTACTATGTTTGAAACTGCTGTTTTGCTTCCTGCATTATGATTCACTGCTGACCGCGAAAACGATCCTGAAATGAGACAGTTTACATACATTTGCATTGAATTTAATTTCTTTTTGTCAAATTTAATGGATTAGAAGTGTTAAGGGAAGATTATAATACCTGTTGTGACATAGCAGGAAGTAGAGGAACCAACAATGTTCATTAATCCAATTGCAATCATCTCTTTGTTTCCATCCACTCGATAGTTTTTTAAAGCAGCAAAAGTCCTTCCAACTGCAATTCCTTCCTGTTTGAACACAATATATGCACAATTACAACATCTTATCTATGTCAAAATAGCACAGACTAGATATTTTTCGGGCTGATAATCGAAAAATAGTCAGCGTTTGCGAAGTTATTGAAAAATAGCCACTGTATTGCGAAAACACGGAAAGTTCCAGCATGATATGCGAGATAATGGAGTTCCTGCATATAAACTTCCAGTATATTATAATGGAACTGCAGCACATTATAAAATTCCAGCATATTATGCTGGAAGCTCATATGTAAAAAATTCAAACTCCAACATGCTATGCTGGAATATTTTCGAATTTTTAATAGTTTTTTGTTCAGATTTTATCTTTACATGAAAAATGGCTAAATTTCGATTATTTTAAAATTATGGCTATTTTTCAATTAGTAGTTGTAAATCTGGCTATTTTTTTAATTTCACCCATATTTATTTCTATTTAATTACATTTTGGGTTTTTAGTGGATAAAGAGTGTGTGTGACAAAATGAAGTTAAAGCACAAAAAGAGAGTTATTGGAATAAACTTACAGTGAGTGAAAGGATGCCAGTGACTATGCCTGTTTTAATTACAAGCCCCAAGTAGCTTCCGTGGAAGTGTAACATGTTCCATGAGACAGGGTTTAATCCTTTTTGTAGTTCTCCAATCTACCATAAGTAACAAAAATTTAATAATCGTCAAGGATAAAAAGTGTAGATACTATAGTGAAAAAAATAGAAATATATATATTTTTAGCCGCTCCTAAAAATAATAGTCGAAAAAATGTATATTATACATATTTTATATACTTTTTGGCTAGCAAAACTGACCATTTTTTTGTATTTTTCCCAAAAATAAAAAGAAATATATATTTTTTCCCACTCCTACATATAATAGCCAATAAAATATATTCTTGTATACATGCATATTATATACAAATAATATACATAGTTTATACACTTTTGGCTCGCAAATGCAATTAGCTCCTACCGACTGGCATTTTTATATGCCCAAAAATAAATTATTACGCGTTACACTTGACTAGCACTAGTTAAACATGTAGACACTTAGGCCTCATTTGTTTTTATTAAGATTAAGACGTCTGAATCTGAATACACATATGAATATCAAGATGTGTATTAAGATTAAGACATCTGAATCTGAATACACATCTGAATAGATTAAGATGTGTATTAAATCTGAATAGAAATAATTAAGATTGTTTGATTTTTAACATCTGAATGTACAGTAAACTTAAAATTCAAATGAAATAACTGATCTAATATTCTATCAATAAAATATATAGTTTTTAAAAATATGATAGTTGTTAGTGGTGATGGCTAATAGGTGAATGCCGACTAGAGGCGGTGGTTGGTGGTAGGTTTGGTTGATGATGGTGGTTCATGCTAGTAGCTAATAGCGATTGATAGTGGTGACGATTATGATTGAGGATGGTGGTGGTGGTTGATGATAGTTAATAATGACGGGTGGTGGTAATAGTTGTGATTGAGGAAGGTGGTGGGTTGGTGGTGGTAGGTTATAATGATGGGTAGTATCGGTTGGTTGTTGATGGTGAATGGGTGGTCAGTTGTGGTAGTTGAGGTGGATGAGTGTTGATTGTGGGGGAGAATGATGGTGGTCGGAGTGGTGGGGATAGTAGGTGGTGATGGTCGATAATGGTGGCGGCTATGATTGAGGATGATGGTGGCGTGGTGGTGGTGGCGGCGGCGGCATGGTGGTAGTTGATAATGATAGGCGGTGGCGGCAGTTAATAGTGAATATGTGATAGCATCTTAATGAAATTAAGTCTTTGTTATAGATCTTAATCATACAGACCTATGCAGACCCATTAAGTGGTTGTAAAGTAAAAAAAACAAATACACTTAATGATTAAGATCTGAATAATTAAGATTCAGACTTTAAAACAAACGCATTTAATGTCTGAGATCTGCATGATTAAGATTCAGACCTCCCTTAAATGCAAACAAATGAGGCCTTAGTTAGCCTAAGACGTCTAACTTAATATGGTCTATTTTAGTTATATTGACAACCATTATTGATATAGTGAATTTATTCTTTAGAGAAACTTACAACACTGATGCCATGCTTATGAGCTTTTAGTGCAAAGACCAGCAGTGTAGAGATAACCACTGATAGAAGAGGAGCTCCAGCTGAAATCCAAAATAATTTTGGCTTTCTTATGCTCTGCATTACACAAGTATGGCATATATCATCAAGAGAAAGATACTATAAAATTTTCAAGAAATTACATATCGGTGAAGCCAGAAATTCCGTTAATTTAATATACATATATAAAAAGTAATTTCTTATACAGTACTATAATTTTTCGATGAAGGGTGTTCAACTGATCACTCTTCAATTGAGTTACTACATAGTAATAAGTAGGGGTGCCAAGATGGTCAAAAGAGAACAGTTAACCACCAATATTATCCACTAAAAAATGAGCTGGATAATGAACTTTTTAAAAACGGGTCAAATATGGATAAGAATCATATTATCCATTTAGAAAATGGATAACCAATGAGTAACCAATGAATAACCAATGAATTTAACTTTTTCATTTATAAAGTCTCAAATTGGGGGTTCCTCAAATTAGGGAGACTAAGAATTATCCGCCGGTTAACTCGTTTTTTGTCCGTATTAAATATGGGTCGGGTCGGATAATTGTTCCGTTTTTTTCATTACCCGTTCGACCCGAACCATATCCCGTATCCGACCCGACCCGCCCGTTTGCAACTCCTAGTAATAAGTGTGAATGCGATTTTTACTGTCCCTTTTCCCTTCTCCTCCCCTATCTTCCTACGTAATTCTCAGAAAGAATCCGCTGAAAACGGAAGAACAAAAATACTTACTATGTGTCTGGTCAATAGGAGGAAAACCAAGAAGCAAAATCCCATTAATATTGTTTGCCAAGACCACTGCACAAATACCACATAAACACAAATATTAATTATTCATCGAGTTTAACTTATATACACCGATGAATTAAATATTTTTACACTATTAGATCATTTAAATTATAAGAGTGAAAAAGGATTACACTAACCTCATTTGTCCTGTGGAAAACAGAACTAAGAACAGGGATTATTCCCATTTGTTTGGTAAAATTTGTAATACCAAGAAGACTCTTGAGTTGCTGTAGAGACACTATAATGGCAGCTCCAGCCATGAATCCAATCAGTGTTGCTTTTGAGAGAAAATCAATTATAAACCCAAGTCTGCAATTAAAGAAAATGAAAGCAAAAACTCATATATAAAATTAAATATTAGTTCAAAACCGATTATCTGTCCCTTAACCATTTCCGATTTTATTTTTGCTAGTATAGTACAAATAATGGGTAAAGAGGTCTTAAGAAGAAAACCATTTCAGTTTTTTTTTTTTTTTTTAATTTTAAGTACAGTCATTTATTACATGTTTTTCTTTTCAAATCAACCCTTACTAATTCAATTAGTGTAGTATTAATAAAGTAAATATAGAGAGGTAAATGGTAGTTTAAACAATATATTTACGATTAAGGTATTAATTCATTTTAAGTAATGTGCAAAAACTTTAAAAGATAAATAATATATGGACCCAAGGTATAACATATATACTTATCCCTCAATTTTGCTTTTTCAAGCTTCTACCTCCCTACTTAATGATATTTTTCTTTTTTTCGGACTGGGTGAGGTTAAGGGTTGAAAACAGAATAGGAAAGAGAGATTTTTCCAAACTTCTTGTTTCTCCTTTATCCTGTTTAATTTGGATATACCAACAGTGTATGATTATATATGCAAACAGTGTATCTTAATAGTATGTTATAATTATTTACTCTTTTAAACTTATTATATCAGATTTGTTATAAATAATCACCTATAGTTTTGGGTAACTTAATCTAATGGCATAAAATAACAATATTATGTCGTTGATCGGTACAACGAAGTTAAAGGGTGTGTTTGGTATGAAGAAAAATATTTTTCTTAATAAAAATTTCTTGAAAAATAAGTGGTTTTCTTACTTGTTTTCTGGTGTTTGGTTAGGCAGCACAAAATATTTTTGAAAAATATGTATAATTTAGGCAAATATTAGGGGAGACGAAATTGGTAAGGGCGGGGAAAGGTGGTAGGTCGGGGTTTAGGGCCCGGATTGCGAGGGTAGGGGTTGGGAGGGGGTGGTGGGGAGAGAGAGAGAGAGAGAGGTGGTGGGTGGGGTGGGGGTAGGGGTGAGGGTGAAGTGATGAGGGTGGGGATATGGTGGAGAAAGTTGAAAAAGAATTTTTGAAAATGTTTTCTTCTGTCGAGGAAGAGTTCATGAAAAAATATTTAAATCACCAAACATAAAAAATTAAAAAATATTCCTTCGCGCCAAACACACCCAAAGTCATTATATTTTTACCTTTTTTTAGGCCTGAGGGGGAAGGGGGAAGGTATAAAATAGAATAGGAAAGGGAATAAGATTACCTTAAAAAGCCTAAAGAAGCTTGGAAAAGGCCAGCAAAGAAAGTAGAAGAGAAAGCAAGTTGAAGAAATAAGATTGGATCTTTTGTAGGAGAAACCACTTCTCTAAGCATTGATCCAAGAACAAGTGATGCAATTGAAACTGGACCTACTGCTAGATCCCTTGAACTTCCTAGTACAGCATACACTAGGGGTGGAACAAAACTTGAATCTGCATGGCAAAAATAAAATAATAAATAATAAATAAAAGTGGAAATAATTGATTCACCCATGAAAAATTACTCATCTTAAACAACTCATTCTGTCCTAATTTATATGACATATTTTCCTTTTTAGTATATTTCAAAAAGAATATCACCTTTTTATATTTAAAAATAATTTAATTTTTAATATTTTATCCTACCCTACCGTTAATAAGATAATTTATAGCCATACAAATGTTAAGGTTTGTTAGATCACAAATTTTAAAAATCTTTATTTAATTTCTTTTAAAACTTTTTTTTATTTTCCATTCGGTGTTTGGTATCGCATTGGAGCCCGACTATATCTGGATTCGCGCCGTGTAGGTCCCCTTCGGGGGAAGCGCTCCTTATCAAGGATTTTTCCATACCAGGGTTCGAACCCGAGACCTCTGGTTAAGAGAAAAGCAGTCCTATCCACTGCATCATATTCTTTTTAAAACTTTATGTCAAGTCAAACAGTTGAATATAAATTGGGATGGAAGGAATACTAAAGAAAAAGAAATACTCACATAGACCAACAATGGGAGGTAAATTAGCTAGCTTTGCATAGCTAATTCCCTGCACAATAATAAATAAGAAGAAAAGAAATTAAAAGCGTATCAAATTTGCCATGTATAACAAAAATCTTACAAACTTAGAAACTTATATAGAAAACGATATTAATTAAAGAAAAAATATATACCTGAGGAATGGCTAAACTGGAAATGGTGAGACCAGAAACAATATCAGATTTGAGCAATTTGAAACTGTAATTAGGACCCCATTCTAATATTGGAAAAACATACTGAGCTCCAAGAATTAGTTTCTTTTTCAATGGCTGTCCTTTGAATTGTCTCAAAGGATCATCAGGAAAAAAAGTTTCTTTAAGCCTAGTTTTCAGTTTTTGCAAAGTTGTTTTATGTGGTGGAGGAGCAACTTTGTGAATTTCCATGGCTGACATCTCTATAGTTGTAGTGTCATTTTGTTCCATTATTTTGGCTAAAAATGCAAATGTTTCTGGTTTGTTTGTTTCAATGGAATTGTAATTTCTCCTACTATTTATGTTTGTGTTCCATTTGAAAAAAAAAAGAGACACGTTCAATCAACTTTCAAAAAGACAACTACAAAACAAACTAGTACTTGTCATTTGTCAACATGGTTTCTATACCATCTCAAGAAAAGATAAAAAAGAAAAGAAGGGTGAAAAATTTCTTGTGAAATATAACAATAAAAATGTTATAGCTATGTTGAATGATGACTTTTTTCTTGATTAACTTTGACTTGGCCTTTTTAAATGTATTTTGGACATAAAATCTAAGAGTAATAATAGGGTCTATAACAAACTAGGAGATATATTAATATTTTGACCAGAATTTGATTTACTATCCGAATAAGGAGAAAAAGAATTAAAGTTTGGTTAAAATTGGACAATTGGGGTGAGATTATGGGATAGGAAAGTAGTAGGAGAAAAAAGGAAAAAGAAAAGAGAGGATGGGTCAAAGGATAAAACTTAAAATTTCATGAAATAATTGGAGATTTTTGTAGAATATCATTAAATGGGAGGGTGCACTTCTCTAAAAAGTTATGAAATTTATGCAAAAATATATAGAAGGGTTAAAATCATAAATGAAGTATCAGAGTTGCAGAGGAATGGCTTTTCAGATAGAGGATACCAATTGATTATCGACAAAAGAAATTACTTGAATAAATATAAGTCAAATATTATTATCTAATTGCTTATCTTATTTGGAATTTCTATGTCTAAAAATCAATTACTAATTGTAACTTTTGTCAAACCAAAACGGTGTTGACGCTATACAAGTACACCGACAGATATTTATCAAAAGCATATTCTGTACCTTATATATATATATATATATATATATATATATATATATATATATATATATATATATATAGCTCACTTTTGCACGATACATTAATACTACATATAAAGAAAGCTAAGTTAGGTGTACTAAGATTATAGGACTGAAACCAAAATTTAAAGTTTATGGGTTCGGAATTTTAATATTTTAAGTTACTGATTGGAAACAAATAATTTGTATGTATGCAATAAATTTCTTAAGATAAATATAGAATTTGGACCAAAGTTATTGGGTTCTACTAAACCGATAAACTCTGTGCTAGCTCCGCCCTCGTCTAAGATGGTAGCAACAAATAAAATTGAAGCACAGTAACTATACGAAAGTAATCTAATTAAAGTGTATGCAGGTTGCAATAAAGGTTTTTAACAATGTCAATATTTGCTGCTTTAAGATGTAGCAGACTGAACTCCACCTCAAACTTTCATAGGAATGGGATTGGTTAGTGTTACGGGGCCAATTTCTTTCACAAATGGCACTGCACGGCAGCAGCCTGACACTAGCCACTCAGTCTTACTTATTTTCTCTCACAATTTAGGACTTAAAATATTTTCAGACTTGCAAGCAATTACGGGTAAAACACCTAACCTTTTATATTGAGAAAATATCACTTTATACCCATTAATTCAAAACTATTTACCCTTTAATATCCATGCCCAAACTATTTACTACTCCTATCCATGCCGTCCAAACTATTTACCTGCTAATTCCAGCCGCTGCTAGTCACTACCAACAACAGATCAATTCTTGTGGACATCGATTGCAGCATTAATTCTTGAATGCATGAAAATACTACTGTACTATTTTGATAAAGTTTGCGTATGCTTATGCGACCAAGAACTGAAGCATTGATTTGCCCTATTCTCTCATCCGTTCGCACTGAAAATTGAAATAACTTCAAGCCTTCGTTGTTTTAGCACTGCAAACAAGTTTTCAACACTAAAATACAGGGCACAATTCAACAACTAGATCATAGGAAGAATAGATCAATTTTTGAAACTCCATATGAATGAGTTCAAAATGCCAGATCTGATTTTTTATAGTGTTTTACTGTTGAAATTCGTTAGTTATTGTTCTTTGATGTGTAGATTGTACCATTGATGCTGGCTTTTGGATATTTATTGTACAAAAATTTAAATCCACCATTGAAGGACCTTGAAGCTTGAAACTCATAACTTGGTTTATTTGAGTTTTTAATTATTTTGATCCGATCCTGTATGGGTTTGTTTGGAAAGTTGATTGGAGGTTGTAGCTAAAGTTTTAGTCAATTTGGTGGAGATTTTGTAGTAGATTTTAGAAATTTGGGTTGAAATATAGTTGAACCAGAGAAGAAGACGAATTTGTATTGTATACCCAAATAGTATACAAATATACCATTTTAGTATACAATTCATTCCAACTATATACCCTATTAGTATAGCTATATACTATATTGGTATCATATGCTAGTTGAATCATTTTTTGGTTGTATTAGCTGCATTTAATTGGTACAATATTTGATTTTTTTTAATAATAGTAATATAGTATAATATCTTGAAATACCTTATTATATTGATATGTGGTACACTATTTTTTTTCCTCTTTATGCGTGTGTGTTATGTAGTAGTAGTATAGTCATATAGTTGCAGGAAATTAACTAGTAAAACTGTATACCATATGTTGGTATAGTTATATGCCATATTGGTATCATATGGTAGTTTGAACATTGTTTTAGTTGTTTTAGCTGCATTTTATGTGAATTCTATTATGAAATTATTTATATGAACATGAGTTGCAATGCTGGAATTTTTGTGTGCCGATGGACATAAATTATGTGTATTATGTAATAGTTTTTATAGTTATAGGCAATTGTTGGAACGACCCCATACAACTATATACCCTCTTAGTATACGAAATGAGCAAGTTGTTTTGCGAATATTTAGCTTGCAATACGAGCATGTAATTTTCTCATACTTTTATTGCGTCCTTTAATGTTTTGGTACAGTAGTATAGTCGCAGATAGTTGTAGCAATATTCTAGAGAAATCATATGCTCTGTTGGTATACATATATACCATATTGGTATCACATGGTACTAGAAGTCTTTTTTGCTACTTATACTTTTTTTGCATTTTTCAATATTTTATTATTAATTTTATTCTAACTAGTATATATGGAGATTTGGTTGCCATAGATTATGTTTTCTTACTCTATAACTGGTTGTATGACTGCTAATGGTAGAGTATGTACTGATATTTATAGGGAAGGAGATCAAGGTCTGCATGATAATCATGTGTTGATTCTTTGAATCTGATTATGGTGCTCAGCAGCAATCAATGTGATATTCAGTGAATTAGATCAAGTGACAACTGATATTATTTCAGTTTAATAATTGAATTTAAAAAATGAGAAAGAAAAGGCATAGTGTACTAGTTATATTAAAAAAAAGGTGAACAAATTTTTACTATATCAATTTTTTTCCTTATTGTATATAAAAAAGAATAATAAAAAATAGTGAAAACGGTATTAGATTATGAAGAGAAAAGAATATAAAAAAAAGAAGTTAAATGAAATTAGAAAAGGAAAAAAGAAAAAAAATAAGAAGAAAACGAGCAAAAAGAAAAGGAGAAAAGAAAAAAAAAAGAAAAAAAAGAAGAAAAGAAGCATAGAAATAAAAAAGAATTGGAGAATAAAGAAAAAATTCCCCACAAAAACTACTATGGGTAGGAAATATAATTAGTTTATGGGTAGAAAAATAAATGGGTAGACAAGGGTAAATAGTTTTGTTTTTGTGGGTAACTGTGTCATTCTCCCTTTATTATTCTCGCATAATATACGAAGGACTCACGTTGGAAGTAAGGGTGGAAAGTGGGCTAGGCCGGGCTCCAAACGGGCCAAACGGGCCGGTCCCGGTCCGGGCTAAACGTGCTTTTTGTAAGAACCGGCCGGGGATCAGGCCCACTAACTCATGGTACCGGGCTAAATGGACGGGGTCCGCGGTCCAAATGGGCTAAATGGGTCTAATGGTTAAGCAGTAATTTTTTTTAAATAAAATAGAACTTAGAGACAAAAAGATGTTAAAAAGACATCTAAGACAATGCCTTGTAATTTTATTATAGAATCGTGATCTAATTTTTTAATTCAAATTTAAAGACCAAATATTGTAAAAAAATATTCAAAGTAATGCCTTGTTGTTATAAATAGAATTGTATATATGGTAAGTGTCTATATTTAGAGAGATTCTAGGGTTCATTGCTTGGTGGCTAAGTCACCCTCTCCCTATAAATAGAGAGTTTTATTCTATTGTAATTCATCCAATATCAATAAGAATTCTCTCTCTCTACTTTTCTCTACAATACTCTTGTTCTTCATTTATTGTTTTATAACACGTTATCAACACGAGACTCTATCCAATTGAGTAGAAGCTTTGGGAGTGAGCATAATGATTGTCAATTGTTCCATGAACTTGCTTCGTGATTAAATTTTGGATTTAAGGTATGTATTTTACCGTGTATTTCTCTTTTATTCTATAATTTGATTTTAAATACAAACAAAGAAAATAAATTTTGATTTTCACTCTAACGGAGTTAGTAAGAAATTATAACCACTCGAAGTGGTAATTCTATGTCTTGCTATGATCAAAGTCATGTATGATCGTGAGCACAAGAAGTGGAAACCCGTCCCATTGAATTTTCTTCATTCTCATTCCCTTAAGAGAATGTGGTAGCAATATATGATAAGTCTGAAAGAAGACAAAATTATTACCGTGAAGGTATCAATGGATGTGGACATGGTAATAGACGAAATTATAATCGTCATCATTGTGATAATGAGAATAATAAGGATTCTCAAAATAATCCTTCACTCTGTGAAAGTAATATTTGTCATCGATTTGACATGAGATTTGTAAAGCACATATAAATGATTATGGTCCATTCATGATGTGAATGTGGCAACATGTGATTTATTAATAAATATTCATTTTTGGAAGAATATGAACGTGCTAGTGGTAGTGAATATACCACACTCACCTCAAGAAGGAGGTTTGAGATGATATAAGAAAATAATATCATTATTATGGCATAAATGGTCACCGGTCACGTACTTATTGTAGGCCAAAATATTTTAGCATTGTGATTATTAAAAGACAACGGTAATGCAAGAAA